CCGCCTGTCCCCCCTGCGGCCCCGCGGGGGCCCCGGGCCCCGCCGTCAACGTCTCCTGCCCCTTCTACCTGCCCTGGTTTGAGAAAGGTGACGATGACCCTCTGCCAACCTGGAGCTGGAGGGGGGCGGGGGCTGAGCCATGCTCAGGTTGGGGGGGAAAGAGGCTCTGGGGGTTTTCCTCCTGCCCCCTGCCAGGGGAGAGGACCCACGAGCAGACCTGGGGGTAACGGGACACATGGGGCATGGAGCGGAGCCAGCTCGTGCCCCACTCACACCTGCCCTGCAAGAGGGTCTTTGGGGCTGAGCAGAGCCCACTCCATGGTCCCAGGAGAAGGGTTTGGGGGAAGCCAAGGAAAACGTGCCAGTGCTTCGTGTCCACAGTGAAAGACGGGCTGGTGAGCCGCCGGTGCGGTGCCGACGGGCAGTGGGTGACGGTGAACGGCAGCCAGCCCTGGCGGGACTACTCACAGTGCGAGGAGGAGCTGGAGTCCACCATCGAGGAGGTGGGATGCCCCGGCTCGGCCACAGGGCAGGGACAGACAGGGCCACCTTGGCCACGCACCGCTTGCCCGAGCTCACTGGCACGGTGCTTGCCTGCAGGAGGGTGCCCGCCGGCTGATGGGGAGCTTCAAGGTGCTCTACACCGTGGGGTACACGTTGTCGCTCCTGACTCTCGTCTCTGCCCTGCTCGTCCTCACCCTCTTCAGGTAGGAGAGCCAGGGGGACACGGTCTAGCAGGAAACTCCGCTGCACCAGGAACTACATCCATGCCAACCTCTTTGCCTCCTTCGGGCTGCGCGCGACCTCGGTGATGGTGAAGGATGCGCTGCTGGAGAAGCGCTGGGGCATGGAGGTGGTGCAGGTGGCCGACTGGGAGGCCCTACTGAGCCACGAGGCAAGTGCTGCTGGTGGGGACGGGACGGGTCCTGCTCGACGCTGAAACTCCGCTGCACCAGGAACTACATCCATGCCAACCTCTTTGCCTCCTTCGGGCTGCGCGCGACCTCGGTGATGGTGAAGGATGCGCTGCTGGAGAAGCGCTGGGGCATGGAGGTGGTGCAGGTGGCCGACTGGGAGGCCCTACTGAGCCACGAGGCAAGTGCTGCTGGTGGGGACGGGACGGGTCCTGCTCGACGCTGGGCTGGAATTGGGGTGGGGACCCTTACCCCAGGGAGGCGTGTGCGGCCAGCTACCAGTGCCCGTGCAGCCTCAGGCACCTCGTAGGCGAGCTCTTGGGGTGCCCATGCCACCATGCACCCTCTCAGTGAGCTCTCAGGGTGCCCATGGGCAAGCTCTTGGGATACCTGTGCACCCCATCAACGAGCTCTTGGGGTGCCCGCGCACCCAGGGGTTGAGCTCTTGGGGTATCTGAGCTGCCCACACACCCTCTTGGTGAACTCTTAGGGTGTCCATGCCCCCAGCCATGCCACCAGCCCCACAGTGGGTCTCATCTCCTCTCGCAGGCAGCGCTGGGCTGCCGGGCAGCGCAGGTGCTGATGCAGTACTGCATCCTGGCCAACCACTACTGGTTCCTGGTGGAAGCTGTCTACCTCTACAAGCTGCTCATCGGGGCTGTCTTCTCCGAGAAGAATTACTACAGGCTCTACCTCTACCTGGGTTGGGGTAGGGGCCACCCGGGTGCTGCTGCCCAAACTGGCCCCAGGAGGGTCGGGGCTGTGCTGCCCCTGGGTGTCCCCACACTGTCCCCCACCCCAGGGCTGGTTTTTCAGCTCAGGTGGGTGCTTGGTTTTACAGGGTTTGCTGTGTGACTTGCAGGGACCCCCGTGGTGTTCGTGGTGCCCTGGATGGCAGCCAAGTACCTGAAGGAGAACGTGGAGTGAGTGGGGAAGGCTGGGGGGGTCCCTCTGGGATGCTCAGCCCCAAGCTGGGCTTCAGACTCGGCTGGGGAGTGGGATGGAGGTCCCTGACCCACCTTGCCAGAGCTGGCACGCTCTCGGCCTCATCCTGCCCTCCCCAGCACAGTGTGACGGTGCTGCTCTCTGTGTGTCCCTGGGCAGGTGCTGGGCGCTGAACGAGAACATGGCATACTGGTGGATCATCCGCATCCCCATCCTGCTCGCCTCCCTGGTAGGGGGGCACCCGCCAGCCCCACACTGCTTTGGAGAACAGCACCCCGGCTCCGGGGTCTGTGCTGAGCCCCAAAGACAGGGGCTGGTGGTGGCCCTTGCAGCTTCCCAGCTGGAATTTGGGAATCCCAAAGCCCCAGCTGCAGCCTTGACAGTACAGGGGGGTGTCACCTCCCACAGCCCCCAAGGGTGGGTGTCATGGCCAGGGTGGGCTGCGAGGGGTAGGGGGTGCTGGGCTATGTGTGCCCCTGCCCTGTCTCCCCCAGATCAACCTGCTCATCTTCATGCGGATCCTGAAGGTGATCCTGGCCAAACTCCGTGCCAATCAGAAGGGCTACGCGGACTACAAGCTGCGGTGAGCCAGGAGGGACGGGGTGGCCGGTCATGGGTCCTCCCTGGGGCTACACCACCCCTATGTCCACCTCCCCATCCACCCTGGGGCAACACCACCCCTATGTCCACCTCCTCCTCCTCCCTAGGGCTACGCCACCCCTATGTCCACCTCCCCATCCACCCTGGGGCAACACCACCCCTATGTCCACCTCCTCCTCCTCCCTAGGGCTACACACA